TATGTACTATTTACTAATATTAAATATTTATTTACTCTTATGACACTGGGCTTTTTTGTGCAACTGACACTGTGTACACTGATTCCAAGTACTGTTAGGGCTGGTTCCCACACAATTAATTTTTTCATTCCACTACTTTTCCATTGTTTTTCTATATAAACGTGCTAGGTGGACAACTTTGACTGTTGCACTCGCTTCTTTGTCTTTTGCAGTGTCTCACACATGACTCTCAAGTTAAAAGTTAAAAAAAAAACATGTCTTGAGACCTTTTTTCGCAATTCCACTTCACACGTCTTGTGTTCTTGTGCATTATCTGATACATGGACTTGTGGACGACCCTGTATTATTTGTTCTTCCCCCTCTTCAGATTCAGTTTCTGGTTCTAACATATATGGCTGAATTAATCCAGCATTACCACTTTCCATTGTGTAGTGTTTACTAAAGCTTTTGTTTATACAAGACATTTAGAGAACATCTTGACTTATTGTGTTCCATTCTATTTATTCCGTCAAGTTTCTTTACTTAGTCTTAAAAAGTCTTGAAAAATATTACATTTACCTTCATAAAACCTGCAGTAACCCTGTCAGAGATGAGTTTAACGGGATAAAATTAGTGACTGAAGGGGGACTTGCATAGAAAATGCATAGAACTCAATGTCTTTAAAGGGTATATGCGCCATTGATAGTGAGCAAAGAAAATATACCACTATTAATATTACTCACTGGCCATTAAACTGTTCTTTGCATTATTTTTATTATTCTATATTTTGGTTCTAATCACTATTTGATTTTTAAAGTAATATTGCTAAAGCTGATTGAAAAGCTACTGTTGGAAGAGTATCGTTGCGGAACAGTTTTATGCTGTTCCACTGCGCTAATTGTGTTGTGCAGTACAGAAATGCAGAACTCTGGATGTTAATGCCCTGCGGGAGGAGGCGTGACTGCGGTGTGTTCATCTAAGAAGACAAACGGCATCTACCAGAGCCTGCTGTGATTTCCCAAGTGATCTAGACATTTGCTTTTTAATGGCTTTGCGAAGACATGCAGAGCGGGCGAATAGTAACGACAGTTTTGCTCTGAAAAGAGGGAGAGTATGAGAGATGAGATTAAAACTCGCTTTTGAAACACAACTTCCTCCTGCCTCTAACGCTTCTGAAGCGGAGGCCTGGGGCGGGCGAATAGTAACGACAGTTTTGCTCTGAAAAGAGGGAGAGTGTGAGAGATGAGATTAAAACTCGCTTTTGAAACACAACTTCCTCCTGCCTCTAACGCTTCTGAAGCGGAGGCCTGGGTTCTGTCACCGGCCAGACAAATGGACCCTGCTTGTCCCGCTCGCTGCTTCACAGAGATGGGATTTACCTGTCAAGGCTGATATAGCGTTCCCCCCTGATGTTAAAGGCTCACTGTAAATCAATTTAATCCTCACCTCCACAAACCAACCCCAGGTTTGTCACAATAAGAAATAATCCACTGCTTTTGGGGCTGCTGCCAAAACATAGACTACTTTTGTCGTAACCAGTCTGCATCTTTTTTTCTCATTCTCTCCTGCCTGGGTCACTTCTGGTCTACATTGAGATGCATTTATTATGGTGGGGAATGCCTTGCTTTTGCATAGCACCTGATGCAATGAGCTACAAGCAAATGGCTGGCCACTGCTCCGTGTGTGTGTTCACGGTGTGTGTGTGCTCACTACTCACTGCTGTGTGTGTGCACTTGGATGGGTGAAATGCAGAGCACAAATCACCATACACGGCCATGTAACGTCACGTCACTTACTCAAACAAAAAAATAAAATGTTAACGACCCCCCCAAACTTTTGAACTGCAGTGTACTATACATATGTAGCATATTCAAGTGTTTGGTTACAGTTTTAATGGGAATTTCAGTTGTTTCCTGACTAAGCCAGCTTTTAAATCTGTATTTGTAGTGCTGGTGAAGGAGGGAAAGATCTGTCCGTTTGTGGCCTTCATTGGACGTGGAGAATGTAACATCCTTCAGGACGTGGGATCGTTGGCAAAACCCGTTGACAAAAAGGTATCAGGACAAGCAGTCATACCTTGAAAAGAGTATGCATATTCTTATTTTATTGCTTTTTTTTGTCAGAAATGGTAGTGTAGATACTGTTTAGTGTTTGTGAATTGCAGGGCTGCAGGATCAGATTTGTGATTGTTGGTAAGCTGGGTCCAAAGCAGTCGTTTGGTGAGGTCAGCATCCTATTGAACCAGCCGTCCCCTTGTACTGTTATCACTGCCACTGAAGTTCATGGTGGAATCATTCAACCAGAATGTCTTAAAGGTCAGTCGCTACACTTTACTGCTTACTACCTTCACAGAGCAGGATCACCATGACATTACACCTCAAGAGGTAATAGCTTTAAACTGACCTTACATTAACTCACATACTCGCACAGTAACACCCACTGAGTGCCCTGCTCATTTAAAGCATGTGTTTTGTATTCTGCTGTGAATCTGAATGAGGTTTGTTTTTTTAACCCGTGCACAGGACTGGACTCAGTGACCACTTCTCTTATTCTGCAGACTGCGCAACCAATGCGTGGAAAACTCAGTAAGATAAGAAAAAAGGAAAACTTCGGTTTTATGTGCAGTGAGAGGGAAATGATTATTATCATTGTCAATATTGGAAACAACAATTATAAAATATAATTAATAATAATTGTATTAATGTTATTATTAATAATTTTAATAAATAATAATTTTATTGTCACTTTATTATTTTTTTTATAATTTATAATATTTATATATTTAATATATATATATATATATATATATATATATATATATATATATATGTTTTTTTTAATTACATTTTTTGTAAAAAATAACTTTATTAAGATATACTGTTCTCTGGTTAGTCAGAATTTTCATTTTGGTTATTTTTTTCACACAGCAGTGTAATTTCATTAGTCCAACACAACAACACAATGGACTCTTTAAAAATGAACTGCAGAGTTAGAGCATTGTGGGAAATAAAATGTTCTTCCAGTATGGTCCATACAATGCAAGTTGCAGACATAAGGTTGTTTCACTTTGAGGGTTGTTTGCTGCGTTTGTTTCACATGTCTGTTTTTCTTTGTGCAGGAGGAAGTCATGAAGGAGTTCCTGACACAGGAGAGGATGAAGAAATGGGAACATGAGAAGGTTGTTCTCTTATTCTTCTTTCTTTCTGACCCTTTAACCCGCATTACGATGTGTGTCCTCCTTCAGGATGTGTGGTGTCCGTGGAGAATGACCAGCAGAGTGAATTATAGTGCCAAACCCTTCTGGAACACTCTCCAAAAAAAAAAAAACAAGCAGTGAGTTCATGAGATGTATAAGCTGTTCTAACTCCCAGACACCCGTTCAACTTTGACTTTGTTCTCAGAAACTCCAGACTCTGCCGTCTCTGTGTTCACATGCAGGTTAACCAAGCATGATAGCACCCACATGCTCTGATATGTTACAGAATGGTCCAGTTCTCTTTGGTAAAGGCAAAATGCATTTGAAACGCTTTCCAGACTGGCTCTATCCTCTCGTATAGGACTGGACATTTCGACGTATATACGGTAGAGATTTTGCTTTATCTTTGAACCTTGGTAGGAATTTTCACACAGCAAAAATGAGCAGGACTTCTGTATTTACACATGACAGCATCAAAAAACATGGACGAGAAGCAAAAACTCAGTAAGACTCAAGTCAAGAGAAGAAAAACTTAAGGTGTATAACATGATGCTGAGATGTCGCATTAATACATTTAGAGTCATGTCTATCCATTTCATATGGTAGTTTGCATAGTAGTTGCAAGTATTACATAATTTGAAGCTGTTTTTGCACTAATGCCAGACCTATCACTCATTTGTTATTAATAATTGTATTTTTTGGTTTGCATCCGTCCAGTTACAATTCAAAAATAAAAAGTAATTAAATTAGATGAAGTACCTGTCAGCTGTAAAGTATTTAATAGGGCTGGGAAAATAAATCGATGCATCGAGAATCGAGAAATGATTCTGAGATTTTCCGAATGCATCGCGATTCTTTCTTGAATCGATTCTGAGCTTAGTTTTGAACAACATGGCACTGCATGCTTTAGAAACGGCCGTACTCTGCTTGTTTCCAAATCCTTACACACACTTGAACCTAAAATAATCATTCATAAAATTCGAAAAGGTTGAAGCGAATTACAAGGGTGTTCACAGTGGGCTGTGTTTACATTGATCTCGTGTCATAAACACATTCTGAGCTGAGGTGAAATTAACATTACATGACTCAGTCGAACACACAAGCGCTCTTTAGCAATCTTCTTCATGAGCATTTGAGTGTGCGGATAAAAACTAGGTTAGAGCGCCATATGCTATTAAAATCTAAGCTCAGAATCGATTCAAGAGGAATCGCGATGCATTCTGAAAATCTAAGAATCGATTCTGCATCGATTTATCGTCCCAGCCCTAGTATTTAATTCACCAGATTATCCCAAAATAGGCCTTACAAAGTGGTTATTTATTATATAAACAGTAATTTCCGCTGCAAATAAATCAAAAACTGTTCTATATCATTAAAGGCACAATATGTAATTTTTGCCGCTAGAGGGCGCGTATTCAAAATAAACAAATAGACAAAGGCGTAGTTTGATGGCGCCGTGACTGAGTGTGGAATCATGGGAGTTGTCGTCTTCATCGCCACAGCCGATGCAATCCGACGTGACTCACGCAGAAATCATGTTCATGGATGAGCTAATGATTTATTAACGTAGTAGAATGAAGCAGGGTGAGGCTGAAAGCCGTCGAAGCGAAACGAGGCCGCTGAACGAGCGCGACACACGGCTCGAATGCAGCGGAGCTTTTATTATGCCACAGTCGACCGCTTCCACTCCTTCCGGTCTTGCATTTGTGGGAATAAAAAAACAGCGCTGTTTTATTTGAAAGTTCTGTTATAATGCGTCGTCACCGGTCTATTAAAACGCACAACATATTAAAGCGTCTTTGGTGTTTCCATGTTTTCTACAAAACAAAACCGGAAATCGAGGGGTTATGATGGGATTGGCAGGCGACACAACGACACTATGGACACGGTCCGTGTCACTAGTTAAAATTACTTATTTCTCTAGATTTAAACATTCTTCGAAACATTTGGGATAGTGTAAGTACACAAGTCAGCAAAATATATAACACTGTTCTAGTGGTTTTTGGATATTTTAATAAAAAATCTTATTGTGCCTTTAATCGTGACACTCAAATATTCCTCTCTGGCAAGCAGGTTTTCTAGCCATCAAGTGCAGATCTTAAGTGTGCGTGGTCTGTAGAGCTGTATGGAGCTCCCGGCGCTTATAAAAAGAAGAGACTGGTGCTTTGTGCGTGTGTAAACATTTCCTTGTGATCCTCAGAAGCACTCGCTATAAATGTTTTTCAGATGTGCCTGTATCGCTCACAGTACGAAACTGTGCCATCGGGAGCTCTCGTTCAGGTGTAGCTTTATAGTTATGGTTACATGTGCTTGACAGGCTGCAGTGTTGCATAATAATGTGTCTCTGTTCTACTTCTGTAATTCACATGCTACTTCTGTGTACCTGAAGTATCAGTAGAGTTTAGATGGTTGGCATAGGCCAGTTAGTCTCTGCTGGTTAGTAACTACATCATTCTGTGATTTAAAAAGTTTGCATTACATTACATTACTTATATTATATTATAAAAGTTATTATTAATATAAAAAAAAAAATTCAGGTGGCCAAAGTTTTTTATTATAATAATAATAATTATTATTATTATATACATGTAAATATAATATAAAATTTTAAAAGAAAATAACATTTTATTTGGCACACAATTTTCATATTTCTCTCTGAATTTGGCACACACTAATCCTAATCTCATGTTTTTAGACAGATGGGATGAGATTTAGGATGCAGCCATTCTTTGTATCTTCCATATGGTACTATACATATTCCTTGACTGACTTTGTATGAGATCCAGCCTTTCTAAACTCTCTGGAGTCATGTGACCTTACCCCACTCTTCGCCCCATGTGCATTCACACCTGTTTCTCATTCTCTGATCATTACACACAACGAACAGCATATACAGTACTAGGCCAACAGAAACACACCCTTTAAAAACCAAACTGTTTTTGTGATGTGATTTGGAGCTTTTATCATCTGTTCCCAGTGTAGTTTGCTTCCATCAAGGGTACCAGGCTGGAAAAATAGGTTAATGTAAATAGTGGCTGGTCTTCGGCAGCCCAGTGATTATTCAGTTTAATGGTTAATCTGACACATAAGCGTGAGGCTTCACATTAATTTTCTTTATTTATATATATATTTAAATACAGAACTATTATCTAAATATAGAACTATTTAGATCATATTTGAAATAATTAGTGTGTATATGGCACAACAGCGGCCAAAATAATCTGATTACAATGTTATTAAGGGTGGTACATGTCTTCAGTAATGTAAATAAATTAGGAATGTCCTCTGTGCATTAATTTGATTACACTTATTCCAGATATTACTAAACTGATAACTGAAGAGTTACGCTGAATGTTCATACAAAAATTGAAAATTCTGTAATTATTTACTGTTTTTGTTATTCTAAAACTATCAAGCTCCAAACCTGATGAAAAAGCACCAGTAGTGACGTCATGGCTGTCGCCGGCCAACGAGTTGGTGTTTTTTCAATGTATGCTTCAGACACGGGTCACGACGAGGCGTTCCCCATAGCGACCCCTAGAGGACGCAGTGTCTCGTTCCCTACTCAGGGAACCATGGTTACATAAGTAACCCGAGACGTTTTTATTACTCTTTGTGTGAGGACAAATTTGTCATTTTTATTATCTTACAGCCTTTTGACATAGCACTCAAATCTCATTCTCACTTAAGTATAAAAATGTATATACAATACTGCTAAAAAGTTTTGAGGTCTGTAAGACTTTTTTTCAATGATTTTGAAAGAAGTGTCTTATGCTCACTATGGCTGCTTTTATTTGAACAGAAATGCTGCTTAATATTTTTCTGGAATTTTAGAATTTTTTTTGAATTCTTCTTTTGTAAACATTTTAAATGTCTCTTGATACATTTAATGCATCCTTGCAAAGAAAAAAAAGTATTCATTTCTTTTTTTTGTGTTGCTTTTCAACAGTAGTGTAAATAAAAATGTGTAACTTTAAATAAAAGCCTATATTCCTATATTAATAAATATAATGCTGATGCATTGTGTTTGGTTTTATGAGAAGCAGTGGTGTTTGGCATCAATGGAATCAAACCTACACTAACACAGCATGTTTAGCAGCAATTTTAAATATGCACAAGCAACATGAGGGTGAGTAAACAACATAATTTACATTTTAGATGAGCTATTGCTTAAGCAAGACCTCGGTTTACTCTAGGTGGACTTTCACTGCAAAAAGTGTACTATACTGTAGTCACTTTAAAGTTCAAATTTTCTCCTTAATTGGATTATGCTTAGAAAGTACCTCTGGAGTCTCTGTTTAGAAATATGAATGAGTGTTCTGAATGAACTCAAACATGAGGTGTAGGAAAACAAAAGACATAAATTAATGAATAGAGAACATAAATCATGCAGACTCCTTAGGGCGAGGTGAGTGTGTGTTTACCATCTGTGTAATATGTGCATGTTTTTGTTTAACCTTTTTTGGTCATGTAGCATAAGGCAAACAATACTATTATAGTCAGATAATGTAAAAAATATGTATAAACACTGGCGGCTTGTAAACAGTCTCTCTCTGGATGGACTCATTTGTCTTCAAGCAGACACAGTAAATCTTTGTAATCTGTGTCATGTATTTAGGGGTGTCAGACGAGAGGTTTTTAAAATGACTTATGGGCTTGATACTAAACACATGGCACTGTGCAAATTATACTGATGGAAAATAGAAACACTCCTGTCGTTGGACTTCATTCAGATTTTCTTGCTGAAATAACAATAAGGAAAAAAGAATAATGGGGGGAAAATAGTACTATTAATCAATCAGAAAAGCGATAACGGCCTAAAACACACTTCAGCGTCAGTGTGACCTTAGCTTACTTGACCGTCTGTTGCATATTGGACACAAAAGATTGTGAGGGCTCGTTGAAATCAGTTTCAATTTGATTGACTGGCTTTATGCAACTTCCAGTGTTAAGAGAAAATTTGTTTTTCCAGAAACAAAGTTGTGACATTCACTGTGTGCCGGTTTGATGTTATGAGTGCTTTTGAGGATGAAATAGTCACTTGATTATGAATATGAAATGATTTCATTTGATTGTGAAATAATCGTGGCATCAAATCTTTAAAAGATGCTAGAGTTTTGTTTGTGCAATTAGTAGTACATCAACTTGATATCCATGAGTAGAAATGTGGATTTTACATATTTATCAATTGGGCTCTGAAAAAAAATCCACTTTTATTATTTTTGTATGGACAGAAATTTTACAAACACGTTGTTTGCGTGTTGTCTGTACTGTAACTGTTCATGTCATTTGCTATTATGCCAATCTTCCAAATCTAAGAGTTAGACCAGCACCAAGCCATGGTATTGCAAGTGACAATGTCTGTAATATACAGACATTGTCACTTGCACACAGCAATTTCTGTAATATTTTATTTATTTACTTTTTTTTTTTTTTTACCTCTATTGCTGCTATGTAACTACCCATGTACAACCTGTTCATGGGTTCATGTTCCTGCTCATCTAAATATTTATTAAGCCTACAGTATACTGTCCTGTGCATTTTATTTTATTCTTATTTTTTATCTTACTTTTTCCATACCTATATTTATATATAATTTTCTTGTGTTTGTATTCTTTAATAATTGCACTGCCCATGGAGCGGACCTGACTAACATTTCACTGCTGGTCATATATTCCCTATATAACCATGTATGTGACAAATAAAAATCTTGAATCTTGAATCTTGAAAGCCAGGATAAACCAATTGAACAAAGATGATTAGACATTGTTACATTCATTTAAAGTGCTTCTAAAGTGACAAGCCTCGTTGCACAAACTGTACTGTATGTCTTATCAAAGGTTTAAAATGGATAGCCTTTTGTGAAAGTAAAACACAAGATATAGTATCATGATGCCATTAAAATTTTTTATCTGAATGAATATTCTCTCTCTTTTTCTCTCCCTCAGGGGAAGATACTTTCTGATGCTCTGTTTTATAAGGGCGTACACCCAGGAAAAGGAAAATGGACTTTTAACAGAGGACCAAGAGGAGTAACTGGGAAATCCAAGTCGTCCATATGAACTTTTGACAGATAAACATGCAAACAAATACAAACACAGTCATATTAGGGGTTGCACAAACTACTCGACTAGTTCTGCCATGCACCTCATAAGACCAGGATGAGAATTTCTCTGTCCAGAAACTATATTTGTGAATACAAAACACTTTTATTGAATTTTCACTTCAGCAAAATTCCAAATATATTTGCAAATGTATTTGGAATAAATATCACATGAAATATCAAAAGAAAAATGTATTTGCAAATATATTTAAAATAAGCTTAGTGAGAAATGTCATGTATTTTCAGATAAAATACATTTCTTAAGACATTTCAAACAAAGAAAAATATATTTGCAGATGCATTTCGAATATATTTCACAAGACGATTTATAAGAAAAATATTTCTGGAAAAAATTTCAAAAGTAATTTCAAATCACAAATATGTAACAGCAAATATATTTATATTTACAAGACATTTCATAAAAACGAGTATTTGCAAATATAGTGAAAATTAACTTTAAAAATAACTGAAGTTCATGACAGTGAAAGCAGCATGCAAAATCTAATTTCTCTCCTGCTCTCCTTCATTGCAACTTATCAACTAGTAAACATGAGCAGTCATGCAAACCCTAAATGATGTATTTCTGAACATATCTGCTGCCTTCATGAAGAAAGCCAGGCTTCTGAATCCCAGGGAAGACATGCAGACCTGTCCAAACTGTTATCTGGTGATTTTGCTGGAAGTGGTGTTCTGGATCCCACTGCTGACACCCTCTCCAGAGACACGTACAGAGAAACGGTCCTCAAGGGGTTTATTTCTTTCACCACAGCATTGTAATCCTTCACCTTCTGCTTTTTGAAAAGCATTTCGATTTTGACAGTGTGCAGGGTTTTTCTGCGTACAGCTACCTCGAGGGATTGAAAATAGAGAATCAGAAGGATGCAATTAAACCCACTTGGATCGACAAAATGGCATGATCCCCAGGTGCGTGTGCTTAACCTAGCCAAGGGTGAATCAAACCTGTGGGTGGCCACCAATCCACAAAGATCCAGCCATCACTGACTTCTGCCGACATATCTGTAGCCTTTCATATGAAGCCTTGTGCTCTCCCTGTCACAGTTTCTCATGTCAGAGTCACAATAGTTACAAAGGTGCAAATAAGCCTGTCAGTTGCCATTCTCCAAGCATGTGAGTGTGTGAATGTGTTTCATATTGTGTTGTCAGGTTAGGCCTGGATGAGTAGCCTATTTGCAGACGAGCTCTAAGAAAGGGAAATTGTATTTTTAACATCAACATATATAGTAAAGACAACAAAATGCTCTTAAATTATTGTCGTATCAACCAGACTGCCATGTCTTGCATGCATGCTATAAACTTTGGTGATTTAGCTCTTAAGCTAAATACTGTTGTAACTGCCTTGTGTCAGCTCATATCTGACAGGCCTTAAATTAATAAAATATTCTAGGCTTGGAGTTTCCATACAGATTTAAGTCTGTTTAGGTCCGGGGAACTTTAACTGCCCCCAGGAATGAACGCAAATGAATAATTTTGGTCACTTTGTGATGCTGTGATTTCACTTGTCTTGATTACTGTTCTTCACATGACTCAGTCCCATCTGTTCCAGTCATATCATGTTCCAATACGCGATATATCACGGAAGGTTGAGACTTCCTGTAATTTTAGATTCTGTCAGACTCTGAAGTGCCGTCATTGGTCTCTACCTCGCACATCTGGAAGCGTACGTCAATAATAAAAATAAGAGTCTTGTGTTCACATTGATTTTACTTTATAGCACTGTAATATACTTAAAAAAAAAAAGAAATAGAAATTAACTGCATTCTCATTGTCAATATCAGTCAACATTTTAGAGATAATAAATATTTATACATAATATATATTTTATTACTGTACACTACCATTCAAAAGATTGGGGTACAGTAACTTTTTATTTTTTTATTTTTGGGGAAAGAATTGTATACTTTTATTCAGCAAGGATGCATTCAGTTGGTCTAATTTTACAATGTTACAAAATATTTCTATTTCAAATACATTTTGTAACAGCTCCTGAAACTTAAGCATTGCATCACAGGAATAAATGACATTTTGGAATATATTAGAATAGAAAATTTTTTTTTTTAAATTGTAATAATATTTCACAATATTACTGTATTTTTGATTAAAATAAATAATTGAGCATAAGAGACTTAAATCAGAAACAAAAATAATAATAATCTTACTGACCCCAGACCTTTGGACTGTACTCTATGTCAGGTTGATGTGTTTGTAAAGAAATGTATTTAGTCTTTCTTGTCTCATCTGAATTAAAATGTCTATTTAAAAAAAAAAAACCTGGTTGCATTTAGCTCAAGAACATTAACAGCTCTTCAAGGTGCTTAGAATGCCCTAAAATAAAATTGTGTTGCTTTGAAGTCCATTTCTTTTAGTAATTTTTGCTACTATAGTCATGTTGACAAAAATTCATTTTATTTAAAAATACTGATGACTCATCCTGCACTACACAGATTTCTGTCCAATCAGATGCTTTCTAGAATGTGAATGCCCCTCCCACACAAACCACAGCATGGTTTATGGCTGATACTGAACCATAAATCAACTAAATCTGATTAATTGCGTAAAAAGGCACAAGCCATTAGAAATGTCCTATATTAATACAGGAAAGTAAACAGATTTTATTGCCCACTGATGAACACAGAAAATGCAATATTCAAAAATAATATGTTTCTTGGAGTGAGCATTGAGCTCTGTGTTTACTTAAAACTTCTATTTCTGTACTTTGAAGGAGAAATCAGCCACATTTTATGAGCAGACAGACAGCATTATGAGCAGGGTTGGTGTGGAACTGCCATTGTGTCACAGACAAAAGTTCCCAATTCAATATTTTCTTTGTTCATTAAGTCTGGAAATGCAAAGTCAGGCAGTCATTTAGGAGCTTGTATGAGGAGCAGTGGTTAATGCACCAGGGCCTACAAATTAGAAAAGAAGGACAGAGAGAGATTGATTTACCAGCAGCCCCACTGATCAAATCCATTGAAGGATTCAAAAATAATTAAAAAGTCAGAGAAACAAAGGAAGACAAATCTTAATAACCCGCCTTTGTGTTAATTTTCTCCATACACATTTGTTGTTGTCCCTCGCAGTCAATAAATAGCAAGGGGAGGGGGAAAGTAATGTAGAATTAGCTCAAGATAAAGGAGTATTTGCTTTCACTCTTGGCTCTTTTCCTGCATTTATATACTCAATGGTGATTCTTCATTGGAAATATACTTTAATCTCAAACTTAATTGTGTTCCCAAGAAACATCCCTCAGGTTGTGCATACTAGTGCAGTCATATTAAAATGCCTAGCTGGAAGCTAACAAAACTATCAGATTTGATTATTGATTTCCTCTTTTTCTTGTTTAGCTTCATTAGTTGTACTTGTTAAGGGAACTAATACTATTGTTATTGCTCATACTTGAGGTTAGGGATTTAAACAATCCTATTCTCTAATATTAAACTTCAGTGCATAATTCATTCCACACCATTTGTGCTACAGACATGAATGAGACCTCAAATCATGCGGCTTATTCATGGGAGTTATGATGTTACTTTTTTATTTTAAAGGGGTCATATGATGCAATTTCAAATTTGCCTTTCTCTTTGGAGTGTTACAAGCTCTTGGTGCAAGAAGATCTGTAAAGTTGCAAAGACTAAAGTCTCAAATCCAAATAGATATTCTTTATAAAAGTTAAGAGTCAGCCACACCTACCTAAAACGGCTCGTTCTAACACGCCCCCACATATCTACCTCACTATGTGGGAAGATTTGCATAACGCCGCCCAAATGTTCACGCAAAGAAAGGAGGCATAACTTTTATTCTGGCTGTAGTATTGTTGCTGCCGCCATGTTGTGAATGTGCTGTGTGATTCGTTGTGAAAGCGAAACTACTTTGTTTGGTCTACCAAAAGACGACAATATCTGCTTCGTCATGCCTGGAGCTGATCTGTGCTGGTTGCTGAGGAAATACTACAACTTTGCGCTGTGGATCGCCGGATCGGCTTTCACCATGGATGAAGCGGAGTCCAGCCGGGGTCGTCACATGTGGTTGCCACAAGCCCTCCGGATGCTCCTTCGTCGAATCCGCCGCCTCTGCCCGCCGGCCGTTCTCTGCTCACTCAAGGCCGTGTGTGACGCTGTTTCATTGTGAAAGCGAAACTACTTTGTTTGGCCTTCCAAAAATGGACACGACTACAAATCAGTGGTTAAGTTATATTTACAACACTGTTCCAGAACACTTCAACCCAAATATTCAGATGTGTGCAGCACATTTTATGGAGGACTGTTTACTGATCCTGGTAGAGTAGACTACAATGCCGGCTGTTCTGACTCAAAGACTGTAAGTAAGTTTTTTTATTTAAAATGTTTTTATATTTTATATATTTAAAGCGAGATTTTTGGGTAGTGTAGAGTAGGGCTTGTTGTTTGTCATTTCTCCGATCACAAATGCAGACATGGTTTTATGATTACGCGGCGCGGCGCGGCGCGATGCAACGCAATGCGTAAAAAGACAGTACAAGTCATTATAATCCATAATTATGTCCCCACTGGATACAACGAACGCCTCGTTTATAATGGGTTTTCATGTTTTTGAATCATCGCTCCGGCCTGACAGGGCATCATCACAATGTGGTAAGGGGCGTAACATTTCCGTCACACGCTTGAGGTATTCAGCCAATCACAACGCACTGGATAGCTGGCCAATCACAGCACACCTCGCATTTTCAGAACGATGAGCTTTGTAAAAATCGAAGTGTTTCGGAAAGGCGGGGCATAGAGGAGAAACAATAATGTACAGTATGTATAAAAAATAATATGTTTTTTGAACATTTCATTACACCAAATACGTAAATAATGTTATTTTTAGCAGCGTCATATGACCCCTTTAAAGCAGTTAGATTTATGAATTACATTTTGTGGAAAAAATGGTTTCTTTAGGCTTATGTAAAAGAGGGACCTCAAA